TATAAAAGAAATATTATAATTTTATTTATTTTACATTTTTTTAGGTATGAATGCAAATATTTCTTGGTTCAATATTTGTATATTCAATATTATTTTAATTAATGTATATCATATTATTAAATATTTAGAAATAAAATAAATTACAAAGTGCTGAACCCTACGTAATGATCTTGTGGACCATTATAATAAGGATTAAGATATTCTGATACATCATTATATAATTCATTTCTTTCTTTATTTAGATGTCCAACTGTATTCTTTCTGTTTACCATGATATTTCTTAACTGATTACCTATGGGTGTAAACTGTTATAAGATATAATAATATGAAATATAAGTATTTTATAAACTTAATATACGTGATTATGTAACTCATAATTCTAGAAAAATTATATGATTTATGTATTTAAAGTAAAACTGTATTTACTTTATATAAAACACCAACAAGTAATGAAATGATTATTCCTCCTAGAAAGACATTACAAAACACTGCTAGAGGACTGAAACGCTCGTTTATTTTATCGGATTCTCCATATGTTTCTATTTCATTTACTTCTCCATCATAACCATCTTCTTCAGTTGAAGGAATGATTGGTTCACTAAAGGAATACCCTGAAACTTCTGGATGAATATCTGATGTTTCAGGAGATGACGTTTTTAAACTCACAACTTCTTCTTGTGCTTCCTTGTGGCAGATAAACTCTTTAATAACTTCTCTTGGATCGCAATTTTTATATTTCTCATATGGTATTGGGCACTGAATTTCACTACCATTTGTACAATCTTTCTCAAAATGAAGGTATAGATCTTCTTTATCAACAAAATATCTACGATATGTTTCACATTTTTCTTTATCATTTTTATACTTTTCCTTAATTTTTTCATAGTCCAAATAATAATCAAATAATTTCTTTCTGTTTTCCCAATTGTTATTCAAATTTATGTTATAATCCAGTTTACAACGGAAATAAGGGTTGCTCTGGAACATTCTAGAATTCGAAGACTGCGTTAATATATTGAAAATTTTATTATAAATATCGTTAGCCTTACAATTAACACTTTTACACATTATTACTAATTTTCCATATAACCAGTAACTTAATATATTGCAGAAATCATTGTTCAAATTACATTGTTTCATATGTTTGTTTTCTCTTTTTAAATAATGTGTTAATTTTGAACAGAATTCCTTAATTTCTTGGTAGTCATCTATTGAATTTTCTTTTTCTTTAGGACTACAGAATGTTATAGAATTATATTCACTTTTAACTCCTGTATCCAGCGTAGTATAATACTTTACGGAAGTTAATTCATTTCTGTCAAAACTCTAAAAATTGAAATATAAATGTGAACCATTGAAGAATATGAATATTTAAATATTCGAGTATAATTGTGTTATTTATTTTATATCAAGAAGTAAAAATGCATAAGATATATTATAATTTGCTAAAATTTCTTATAGTAATTTAAAATAATTACATATTTAGAACCATCAGCCATTATTGTATTCTATATTATATTGCATATACAAAATTAAAAAATATTGAAAATTCCATAATAGCAATATTTCAAAGCATTTATTATAATATATTTTATGGGGGAACTCTGAGATCATATATATAGCTATATTGGCAAATTATTATTTAAGTATAAGATTACAATTCTTGATGTACAACAATATGATATATTAAAATAGAATGATAATATCAATAGTAATTCTAATTTTATATTTTATTTCATGTTTTTGCAGCTTATTATTATATAAAAAAAAGTAGAATATTAATATGATAAATTTTAAAAATATTTTTGAATTATATCTATGTATTCTACAATATACGTATAAATAAATTTATGCAATATAAATATAAAAAATAGATATTACTCAATGTAAATGAAGTCTATACGTCTATATATATGTATATTCTGGGTAAATCAATTGTATAATAATTCTAATAGCTGAATAATTTAACATATATATTTTACATGAATATATAAAGTTAAATTATACACCAGTATTATTTATTACATGATACTGTTCTATTAATTTTTATATTTATTGCCTTCTATTTACTTATTATTTGATACGTTGTAGATGTTTATCAGAATAATAAAATCTTGTATGATAAATAATAAATTTTATATTATAATTTGATCATATATACATTTTATTTCAGATTATTTCATATATATTGTTGTACGATATTTATTATATATTTTATTACATTAAAACTATATGATCTAGCATTATGCTTCTGAATATTATTAACCAATGATATCGACAGTAATATATTATAAAACATGTAATATATATTTCATTTTATGGACTCATGATATTACATATAAGAAAATAAATATTATTATATTCGTGCATAGCAAAAAGAAAAACATTTAACCGTTATTTTTCCCTATATTGCTGCAAAATAATCACTAAAATTTATATAAAATTAAATATTCATGTATATTTATAATAAGCAAAATAAAATACTAAAATGTGTTATTGAGAAAATTAATTATTACGAAAAAATATTTTTTTCATAAAGTATAATTTATCTTTTCTAATATATTTAAGAGAATATTAAGGGGTTCTTGGTGTATGTATCTATGTTTAGGGTTTAGGTTTAACGTTTTAACAGCATTAGATTTTCTTTTATATTTTAATATATTTACAAGCATTATTATGAAAATGAGATCACTGTTATTTTTCCTCAGTAAAAAATTTTGGTTTTAAAAAATATACATCATTATTATAAATATACAGATTTGGATTAAGTGATAATTGTAATCACAGTGAAATTATTATACCTCATAACGCAGTATGGGAAACCTTGCAAACGTGTCAAAAAAAAATAACCCTTATAGGATAGACTATATACAATTTTCAATATGTGACAATTTATAAGTATATTATTCAAAGAAAAGAAGAAATAGAAATATTTTTAAGGTAA